GACACTATGTGAAGATGATGGAGACAGTCTACAAACTCAATGAAAACAAGCAAGGTCATGTATAGCCTTGCCTAGTCCTTTAGAACACCCACTGTTGGTGCCCTGAGCCACCCTGTAAGAAGCCCAGCTACCCTGAGGCTACCATGCCGTGAGGAAGCCCAATCTGCACAGGAAGGTCCAGTGTAGGTGCTCCAGCCCATAGGCCCCACTGACCCCAGTCTTTGAGTCATGCCAGCTCAGGCACTAGACTTGTGAGAGAAGAAATCTCCATGATTCCAGTCCTTAGCCATTCAAGTCTTCCTAGCCAAGCCCCAGACATCATGACAGTGTCAAATTGCTGTGCCTCTGTTCAAATTCTTAACCCAGAGAATACTTGTATATCATCTTCATATGTCAAGCCAGGCCAGTAACAGTATCTACATTATAGAGTTCTTGTGAGGGTTGGATGAGTTAATACAGGTAAAACTTTAGAACTGTACATGACATATTATAAGTGTGGTGGAAGTGTTTGCTAGCTTCTTCCTTCTCCTCCTTGTCATCTAATAAATGTGCCCTAAGACTTGGTTTCCCCACCTCAACCTCCGTTCCTGGCCACCTGGGCTTCTGGGCCTCCTGCAGGAACCCAGGCCTGGAGTATCTTCTCTCCTCAGTTTGCTCCCTTCACAGCTGCAAACACCTTCCACTGTGCAGGGTACTGGGAACCTGAGTCCTAACTTTGGAGGGAGTGTGTAGCCTTAGGGAGGCCCACATGAATGGCTCACTGAGGCCTGTGGTTGGACCAGGGGAGCCGAACAGTGACACTGATGCTGTGGGAGCCCAGAGGAGGGGGACAGGGCTGCAGCACCTGCCCCCATCTCATCGGCCACTGCCCAGGTCAGACTGGAGGTGGGCTGCCACTCTGTCCCACCGTAACTGCCACCTCCAGCACACAGCCGCCTCCGGCCCAGGGCCCACGTCACCAGGCCCACTTCTGTGTTCATTCATGTAGCGGTGACTTCAGCACACCTGTTAGAGCTGCCCGGTGCTGGGCTAAGGGCAGAGGGCACAATGCTGAGCAGAGATCTTATGCTCCTGCAGTTTCCAAGCCAGTGAGCAAGGCACATGTGTACCAACCGTGCTGAGTGCCAAGAAGGAAAATTACAGGGGTCAGATGTAGACCAAGGATTAGGCAAGGATTCCCTGCACAAGCATATGGAAGGAAGATTTGAGGTTGAAGGAGACAATCTCCGGGAGAGAGGCAGGCATCCAAGGTAAGTGGTAAGTGCAAAGGCCCTGAGGTCAGAGGGAACTGGAACAGCTGAGGGGCAGCAACAAGGGCAGTGGGACTGGAGTGTGAGACTGAAGGGAAGATGGTTAAGAATGGGCTGGAGGACTGAGCAGAGCCAGGAAGTGCCTGCTGGGTCAGGAGAGCAGAGAATGTACTGTCCAAATCAGGCCACTCGTGGGAGTGAAGGACACTGTTAATACTGACACTGTGACAAGACTTAAAACAGAAACTGGCTCAGATGCATCAGGACATCTGGTCACCTTACTTGCAAAATGTATGTGGAGGAAGTGTCTTCCTTTGACTCTAACTTCACGAGAGGGACACAGAATCACCATCAGCAGCCCAAGGCTATTGCTATGAGGCCAGACATGGGGCCACCCTCCAAGTTTTTTTTTTTTAACCAATTCTCACACCAGCCATCCCTCCAAGGACTCACTACTTCTCTGCTGGGTTTGATAATTTGTTGCAATGGCCACACAGAACTTACAGACAATTCTCACCATTATGGAGTTTATTAGGGAAGTAACGGGTTACAATTCAGGTTCAGGAAATGCTCAGGATGCAATGCTTCAATCAAGACAGATTTCCCCAGCCGTGCCCATAGGCATCCTCTCTCCGGCCCTTGGCCTCTCGGCCTGGCCTTTGCTCTGCTTGAAGAAGTATTACAAAGCTCTTATAGCTAGCTCCACCGGGAAGTGCACTGCTCTCTGTCAGCCGAAAGGCACTCACCTTTCTTGCTCTGTGGGCTGGAAAGCCCACCACTCTGTCTTGTGCCTCTTGGTTCTGCTGCTGCCATGTCTCTGCGTCTCTCTGCCGAGGAGGCCCAGAGCAGGGATTTGGAGTCCAAGGACATGGTCCATTCCATCTCTGGCTCTTCTCTTTTGATGGCAGCGAGAGCCTCTCCTGCTTCTAGGAAGGTTTACTTTAAGCCTGGCAGAATGACAAAACTGACCACTCCCAACATGAGGGTTGGACACACCTTATCTGCATGGTCCCACCCCCATAAGGGTGCCATGTACCTTATTTACATCACTAACAAGCTACCCAGTCTCCTTGTTGGACCACAAACACCTCACATTTGCATAGTTCCACCCAGTAATCTGGTGGGAGTCACAGAGAAGACCATGGTTAGAAGAGCCACACTAAGCAATTCACTGCACCATACTACTTAAAGGTCAAGATAAAGAATTTGGTTTTTAATCTAAGACCAGCAGAAAGCTGCTGATTTTGAGCCAGGTGATGTTTTTTGTTTTCCTCCTTCTTTTTATTTTGAAAAAGCACACACAGTAAGGTACACAGATATTTAGAGAACAGTTTGACAAATTTTTATGTGTGCCTATCCATGTAACACCAGATCAAGATACAGAATGTTCCCTGCCTTCTGGCAGGATCTCCATGGCCTTGCCAGTCCATAATACTCAGAGGTACCACTATTTGAACTTCTATCACCAAAGATAGGAGCTCTGGTAGCGTAGTGCCTAAGGCACTTAACTGCTAACCAAAAGGCTAGCGGTTCAAACCCACCAGCCACTCCTCAGAAGAAAGGTAGGGCAATCTACTTCCATAGTGATACTGCCTCGGAAACCCAAGGAGGGGTCTCTAAGAGTCAGATCTGACTCCATGGCACATAACATCACCAAAGATTACTTTTGCCTGTTGTTGAAATTGAGGTATAATATACACAATGGGACACACACTAACCTTAAGTGTACGGTTTGAAGAACATTTACTTACGTGGACCCCTGTGTAACCACCACCCAAACCAAATCCTAGAACATTTCCGGAGACCAGACAATGTCACTCTCCCAGAGGTAGCCCTGATTCTGACTTCTAGTCCCAATGAACACCTGTTCTTCAAAGCTGAGAAAAGTGAGGCCCCCAAGCTTCCCACCACCAAACCCCTATCTGCCCCTTATCTGCTCCATGTAACAGCCCTGATCCTGCTGAAGCCATCAGGCTCCCACGCCTGTCTTTCTTGGGTTAGAGTCCTCCTGCCTGGGGTCTAGATCCCCACATTCGATTTCCAGAGGCTCGCACCCCCCCCACCAGTCCCCAGATTCCCCCACAAGTTCCAGCCCGCTTCTCCTCTCTAGACGGCACGAGTTGGTTTGGGGAGTTTAAAAAATAAATAAATAAACCCTAAACCAGTTGCAGTGCATTTCAATTGGTGGGGACCCCAGGTGCGTCAGAGTAAACTGCTTCATACGGTCTTCAAATAGCTGAGAGCTTTTAGGAGCGGACTGCCAGGACTTTTCTTCCAAGGTGTCTCTGGGTAGGTTCGAATTCCAACGTTTCCGTTAGAAAGCAGTCCAGCACTTAACTGTTTTCACCGATTAAAAAAAGAAATCCACTGCTATCAAGTCAATTCCGATTCAAAGCGACCCCCATGGGGTTTCCAAGGCTGTAAATCTGTAAGGAAATAGATTGCCTCATCTTCCTTCCGTGGAGCAGCTGGTGGGTTTGAACCGCTGCCTTCTGGTTAGCAGCCCTCCCTCAGCCACCCAAATAAACCAACAATCTCAGCAGAATCATCTCCCACCCCGCGCCCTCTGTCGGAGAAGGAGGAGTACAGCGGCGCGTGGGGCGTGGCGAAGGCATAGGGCACCCGGTAACCGGCTGGTGGCCGCCTCTCCAACAGCCTCGCCACAGCGGGGCTAAGGGTGCGGCCTGGGCCTCAGTCTCCTGGCTGTAAAGTCCGAGGGCCAGACTTGTGTCTTGAGGGTGCTTCAGGAGCGGATGAACCTGGTTTTACAGCAGCGCCCGTCGCCTGGACAAGGGCAACAGGGCTGGGCTTGCGGGCAGCCCTCGATGCTCACTGCGGTTGGCCCGCAGGGCTGCGTGCAGCAGGGCCACTCGCCAGGTCCTTCCTGCGGATCTCCGCCTCCTATCGCGTCGCGACCCTGCCTCTTTGGTCCTCGGGATTCCCTTGGGTACCCCGGGCTCCCGCGCGCTCTTGCGAGACCGCGGCGCGGAGTAGGATGCGGAACGTACACACGCATGGGCAGCGCACAGACCGCAATGAGCTTCACACACGCCCGATCGGCTGCCCTCTGCGCACGCGCCGGCTCGCAATCTCGG